AGAGAGAGAGAGAGAGAGAGAGAGAGAGAGAGAGAGAGAGAGAGAGAGAGAGAGAGAGAGAGAGAGAGAGAGAGAGAGATCCAATGTCCTCACAGCTCACTAAACTGGCATCTGCCAGTTCAAGAGCTGCTGCTGGTCATGGTGACTATGCTGGCTACACGGCTATGCTCCAGGCATTAGTTGCTATGCTGGCCATGTGGCTATCTGGGTATGCGGCTATTTGCTGGTTATGTGGCTATATGGCTGAGCAGTGGGTACCTCTGGCTAAGCTGTCTATATGGCTATGCTGCAGGCCATGCGGCTATGAGGCTACACTGGCTATGAGGCTACACTGGCTATGCTGGCTATACTGCTGATAGCCCACAAGCCCCTGCAGCTGTCACGTCTGCACTCGTTATAGCACATGTGCACAATCTGCTGCTCAGTATTCAGTCTTGCTCTACTGTTTTTTGAACTTTTTCCCCTTCTTTCTCCCTCTTTTCCGGGAAGTTTTTCATGTACTTTTTCTGTAGGAACTCAAGGTCCTTGTTCTTGTTGAGAGTTGGTCTTATGGTTTTATGGAACTTTTACCTCTTTTTTTTTTTTTTTTTTTTTTTTTTTTTTTTTTTTTTTTTTTTTTTTTTTTTTTTTTTCTTTTACCTCTTTTCTCAAAAGAAATAATCCAACATGACTGTTAGACCTCCATTGGTCTTTCATGAAAAACACAAAACGATCAAAATCGTTAAAAAAAAAAGTAAAAAAAAAACTGTACGAGAGAGCTTAATTGGTCCTTACTTCTGTATTAGTGTCTTCATAGCACAGGGTTCAAATACAATAGAAGATGACACTGGCCCGAGGATGCGCACAAAGTCACTTTTCGCAATCACAAGTACTTCTCCATCGCTCTCTGCAACCATTGTACATCCTCTGAATGCACGCACACAGCACATGGTGTCCGTCAGTGAACTCGAGAGATTTTAGAACTGATCTGCACCTGTTTCTCTCCTTTTCTTTACAAAATTTGAGCTCGGAGCTCAGCATGTAGCCACCCTATGTGGCTGAATGGTACACACATGTAACTGTACTGAGCAGGTCATGAGTTCGAATCCGGATTGGAACAGATCAACAGCACAATCCTAGGGTCTAAAACCCCGCTTCAACAGAAATTGAAAAAGGGATCTCAGCACTGCCCTCACCCACACCCCACTAACGCCAACCCCACATTAACAACAACAGGAGCCAGAAGGAAAATGAGGGGCAGTCCTGGCCAGTGCCAGTGCCTGCAACTGCTGTCCGGCACATCCGAGGTGGGTTGACGGCAGTTGCAGGCACTGGCGCTGGCCAGGACAGCCCGTTGGCATCAACGTTCTTCCTTGAGCTTAATCCTGCACCCGTAGACGGAGAAGCAGGGGTTAAAGCACCAGTACACCACACATCGGTCCGTGGGTGTCAGCACGAAACCCGCACCACTTCGGAAGCCGCCGCTTTTTTTTTTCAACGGCGCCCCACGCCGCGCGGCCCCTCCGAGTTTTGCTTGTGGCAACAAAAACTTTTCTGCAAGGCTGGGGCCGTGTACTTGCGGTTTAAGCTAAGGAAGAACGTTGAGGTCGGGAGGGCTGGGTTCTGTGAGCATCCACACACACACACACACAAAAAAAAAAAAGAAAAAGAAAGGGAAATGAGGTAGAGTAGCTCCAGGGTAAAAAGGACGAAAGGAACAGGAGGAAGACAATGAGGACCTCGCTGTGACAATTGGTCTGCCACAGCGCGCGATTTTCTTCTCTCCTCCTTTTGTCATGTGGAGGTGTTGTGTATTACATTGGTTTCCAAATGGTCGGGATGTGCCGCACGCTTCGCAATTTGCCTTGTCTTCTATCTCTTACTTTTGGGATAGAATAATTAGGAAATCCACACTCATGCAATAACTCGCTTCAATATGCCTCGTTGACTGTCTAAGGGCCACCCACAGGCCCGACGTTGGCCCTAGGCCGCATTGCCAAGAGGCAGGCCCCCAAATGTTGAATTCAGGGGCCCAGCGCTCGGCGGTTGACCAGAAGTCAACTGTTCGAGGCCCTCCAGTCAAAGTCTGCATGGACCCAGCGCAGGCCGCCGGTCAGACACACACACTTGTTTGTATGCAGGTACGCAGACAGCATTCAGACCAAGTGGAAATCTGTAACTGTATGAGATCCAGGCCGTCGGCTGTGAGTCAATCTGAGCTACTGTGGGTGGGAGACCAGAGATAGGTCAACCTCGTCAAACACTATTTAAGGCCCCTGCCTTCGGGAGTCAACATCCAGTCTTGCCTTGCTGACTTCACGCTGGCTTGATGCTGGCTTGACGCTGGCTGGACGCTGGCTGTAAGCTAGCACTGTGCGACGACGACGCGAGACTGCTGCACACGCGCTGGTGCCTCCCTGTTCTGGCGTCAGCTATATTCTGGCTTGCTGAGGTGGCGCATGCCATGCTGTCCTCGACGTTGCTGACGTGGCATTTGCCACACTGTCTTCATTGCTGAGTTGGACGTGACAAAGAGGGAGATCAGGATCTGTGGATTGATAGAGAGAAGGAATACTTACCTGTTGTTGTTGTCGACATTGCGCGCTGTTGTAACGTCTTCATGGGAGAACTGTTCCATGTGGCACTCTGATGTGATCAGGCCCTGTCAGGCTCTTTTCTTGGACACTGTTGCTGATGTGGAGGCGAGCGGAGGCCCAGAGAAGGAGAGGGAAACGAGGGGCTACTTTCTCTGTGGTCGTTGATGGACACTTATTCTTCCACCCTCTATGTCTGTTCTCCCCCTCCTCTGCTTCTTCTATTGGTTATGAGACATTGTATCACGGATCACATTTCATGATTATTGGAGACATTATTCAGCGCTGAGTTATCTTTTTTCTTTTTTTTTTCAGCGCTGAGTTATCTTGTACTTCGACACTTGACGATTTTCTTCCAGACTGGGTTCATTACACTCATTTTGTCTTGCGTAAAATTCTTGACCCTGATTTCGCCCCTTAGCAAGCGCATGCGAGTTTGATATTTTGGTGCACCTGCATGCGAGCACGCGTACTGGAATAGAGGGGCTGCCTGTCTTCTTTCTCGGCGCTTCGCCGGACAGACTTCGTTCGCCTTTTGTTCTTGCATCTTCTTGAATTCTCAGTCTCTGCTTGCGAGCCTTGTGAGCATTTTTGCTGCTTCTTGCAATCACTTGCAGCTCCCTCAACCTTCCCGTGCCCTCTTTCTCTCCATCTCTTCTGCAGATATCTCAACTGTTTCTCCTCTCTTCTTTCTCTGCATTTCCCCCCCTTCATCCTGAAACGCCTTTCTGCTCATCTGCTCTTTGTGTCTAATTGGTCCAATGATTCTGCATGCCTGATCGTCGCATGGAGAGAGTCTACGTAGTACATCCCCCACGTCCGCAGATCTGCAAGGAACATGAGTATGGACGAAGCACAGAAATCCAGAATGCAAAATCACACTGAAGTCCAAGTAGTCAAAGCCAAAGCAGATAGTACAATGGAACCRAGTAACCATCCAATTGAGAATGATACAGAAGAATCGTGAGTCAATGTCCATGCCCAACAGGGCAACACCAACAGCATAACCCAATGTAGCTCTCTCTTATAAATGGCGCCAGGCGCCCTATCTACTCTACAGACTAAGCCTACAACTACAGCTATGAAAGCAACCAGACAACTTGACTACCAGCGAGTGATGATGTCAACACCAATGCCGACCTCCACCTACACCAGGTACGTGTCCTCTTCCCCACACTCTCCCTTGTTACCCACACAGCGCCCTTCACCTCCGAAGACCAGCTTCGCCCTTCACCTCCGAAGACCACCTTCGCCCTTCACCTCTCCTTCACCCTCATGCGGCCCGGCTATGGCCGCCAGTGCCTTGCATGCAGGCAGTGCCCTACCGCCTAGCGCTGGCCTGCTTCACCCTAGCGCAGCGCAGCTCTGCACAGCGCAGCACACATGCATTAGCGCAGCGTGCCCGCAATGCCTGCATTGGCCAAGATCCCCTGCTGCCTCGCCCTGCTTGCCTATATGCCAATGCAGTGTGTGGGCGGCCTCCCTTCAGCCTGTGACCGGGACCCAGAGGCTGAAGCCAACTCGATACAGTTGGGCCCCGGAGCAATGCAGTTGCGCCTCTTTCGTCAAGGCCTGCGGCCAGATTCAGATAGTGGGCCGATTTCCCTTTGGCATTTTCGGCCTTTCTACCCAGCATGCATTGTCGGCCTCACGTTCGAGTGCCCAGGGCCTAACTAACTCAGAGGCCCTGGGCTTTCAGCATTTGCTGAAATCCGAGACTCGGTGCACTCCAACCAACTGGCGTGCTGCAACTGTATGAACCCCACTTCGTGAAATGTTGGCACAGAGGGCTCTTGTTGATTTGCTGGCCCGCCTTCACTTAGGGCGGGCACGAGGCTTGCTGGGGCCTTAGCCCAGAACATGTACATCATGGCAAGGCCCCTACTTGAGGGCTCAATCC